GCCTTCTTGAAATACGCCTCTGCTGCCGCCCGCTTTGATGTCTCACTATATGCAACTCCCAGTCCAAAATTGGCTTTGTCGTTATTTTCCAGCATACAAAGTGAAGACTTAAAGTAGTTCTGTGCCTCCAAATACTGGCTTCTGATGTTGAACTCAAATCCCAAGAGCGAATATGCAAAGGGGTTTTCCAGAATACTGAGGCTCTTCATAAGACATGTGGTACTTTCCTTGGGCATCCCATTTAGCGAGTAGTAATTTCCTATAACAGACCAAGTAATGTAATGATTTGGTGCTGTGGATATTAAATCCTTTGCAAGCAATCCTAAAAGGTTTGTATCCTTGTTGATCCACAGCGACGTAGAGTAGACGTCCATTTCTAGAACAAAGCTAGGGTCTTTTTCCCTTAGAAATTCAAAAACTTGCAAGCCCACCTTCGACGATGTCAATCTGCAATACATCGAAGCCATTTTTGAAAGAAAATACGATCCTATGCCTGGTGTGCTTGAGAAGTAGAATTTTGCTTTAGGAAGCAAAGTAAGAGATCACCGGCTGTCTGGGGTATGGATGGTTTGTCTTCTGATGTCTGTTCGGCTTCGCTTGTCCGTTGAACTGAAAGCTTAAATAGATCTTGGAATAGCATCATTATTGGATCGGTTGCAAATTGGTTTATGGGTGCGATCCAGTTGTTTTCATCGAAAAGACCAAGACAGGGCCCCAAAAGGGGATTCTTAAACATCGACTTTCTATACTTTTCGACACCCTGCTTGGCCTTTCCCTTCAAAATCAACAGTTTTCCAAACAACGCCTCGAAAAATTCAGTATCAACTGGATCCAATATAAAACTACTAAGAAAAATGTCTGTTACCTTCTCAGGGGCAGTCTTGCTTTCTATTATAGTTGTTAGCTCAACAACTGCCTCACTGTATTTCTTCACTTTCATGTAGCTTAGTGCTTTGTAAAAAACTGCTGTTGTTCCTTCCAAATTACTTAGATGAAACAAAGAGCGGCTATACTCCTGGTTTTCGTAGAAAATAATTCCAGTTAGCAATTGAAATTCAGGAAAGCTTTCTGAAATGTGCATGGAAATGTATGCAGCCGTTTCATAATCTCTGTACTTATAGCATTTGATGAGCTTGTTCTTTAGACTTACAACCTCAGAAGAATGCATGGGCTGAAAGCAGGTGATGCCAAAATAGATATAACAGATGGAGTGGCAGTTTCTTGGTATTTTAGCATTTTATTAAGATTTGATGCATCTTAAAAGTTCTAAATAGATTCGCATCACCAAACGATGCACGGTAGCACTTAGGCATTTTATATCTTAAATGAGAGCATTAGGCTTTTAGCCCACTTGTTTGGCAAATAAATTAACCATACAATCATAACAAATACGCTTTAGTACTATTTACTTGGGTCCGAGTACATTCTACTCCTGCGGGTTTTTGAGAAAGTAATTTGGGAACATAAATAAATCATCAAAATAGTATCCAGCCAGCTGTCTCTTGTGCTTCCAGTACTTTGAGATTAGATCCAAGGCGGGGGTTCCGCTGTATTTCTCAAGTCCAGTCTCTATGGCTTTAGGAGCCTTTGCAACGACTTTTGAATACCTGGTCCTCCTGGGCTCAGAAAACCCTCTTGTTTCTCTAATTAGTAGCGCGTTGGATAACTCTGGATACGATTCCACATCCTTGAGTGTGTTTCGTCTTGACATGATTCTTTTTGATCTGTTCAAGGGGTTGTGTTTTTCACAGTAGCTGACACCATTTCCTATATCACAGTACAGCTTCTGGGCAGCGCAACTGCTATGATAAAATACATCACACCCACCATATGCGCACTTAATTAAAAATGTAGAACAATTGCCACAGACACTACAGATACCTTCCAACCTTTCTGCCTCTGTATCGTCTATGGGATCTTTAACATTCATATTGCAGAACGAGACTCCTGGGATAAGAAGCGAACAAACAACGTGCCCCCACTCATTAGTGACGGTTTTCTTGAAAATGCCGTTGCTTGTATTACAAAACTTACAGACTGCCTTTTCATAGTGGAAAATGCATTTTTTGCACAGCCATCGCTTGCTAGCCGACTCGGCAACGCCGTAGCAGGATTCGTGGACTGTGATATAGCATCCTTGGCATATAATGGGTGTCCGTTCATCCATATATTGATATTTTCCACAAATGTCACAGGGCTTATCTGGCTTTTTAATTTTTATACGATCAAGGCTTTTGAAAATCCAAGAGATAAAGTTTTGATCCAGCTTCTTAAATATTTCTTCAAAATCTTGTATCTTGATGCTGTTTTGTACACAAAACTCTTCATCAAACTCATCAGGCGTAAATATCTCAGCAACTGATTGAGTTGCCTGGTCCTCGTCGATTATGGCAATCTCACGATCCTCTGGCAGTTCTGGCCATGCTATTCCCAGGTTTTTATTTAGATCTAGTTTTCTGTAGAGTTTCTTGTAGCTAATCTCTTCCCTAGGATATTTTACCATTTGGGATCAAAACATCCAGGAGTAGAAACTGGCAAAAACAATCAAACTGTCTATTTAGCATGGTACACAGCCAATTATCAGAATATGATGGCAGTATATTGGATGGATGATAACAGTGCTAAATTTGAGCATTGCCATATGAGCAGTAAAATACTTTTCATTTCGCATTATTAGATCATACTTTCCAAATGAGCGTCCTTGAATTTACTCATTGGGATTTTGCTGCACCCCTGATGTTGGAATATGAGCCAGTAATGAAAAAGCTGCTGAAGTTGGTTGTACGCTCCTTCTATGAACCACACCACGTTGTTATTACAGATATTCTCCTGGAGAACACGATGCTCAGTGATGCAGAGTTCTGTGAAAGAATGAAAATGCTAAGTAGAGAGTTTAACAAGTTGATAATTAGACTAAAGGATGATCGGCTAGTAAAGTCCGACATAAAGGTTGAGTCTAAGGAAGACAATAGACAAACCCTAAGGAATGTCTATTACTTTAATTACGCTGAAGCTCGAGATGTCATAAAGTACAAAATTTTCAAGATGACGAAGGTTTTAGAAGTGAAAAAAGTGTCAGAAGATGAGGCATTCTACTGCCCGGCCTGTGAGAGATACTTTTCGGCCTTGGATGCGCAGGCGCTGGTTGAGGATTATCTATTTAAATGTATATTTTGTAAATGTGAGCTTCAAGAATGTACACACAAGCCAAACGACAAAGAAATAGACCTGAAGGAGCTTCTTTACACTCTTAATGACATTATTACCTTACTCAAAGAAGCCGAAAAGTGTGAAATACCCTCGTTAGACTATTTCCAAATACTCGAGATAAAAAAAGAAAAAGAAATGTTTATGAAAAATGAAAGCCGAGCTGGTCTTCTTGAGGCCAAAGAGAAGCATGGCCTTTTGAATATTGAAGAGGTGGATACAAAGGCTGATTCGGAAGAATTTGTCACATATGCCACATCGGAGATAGGGAATGAACAGCCTAAGCATATTGACGAGGCTGTGATGGTAAATGGTGTTCCAAAGCCATTTTCTGAGGTAACCGAGGAGGACAAGGAGCTTATGAGCGAGGAAGAGTATACAAAGTATTTCGAGATATACTCAATGCACAATCAATGATAGCAATATGCACAATGGCTACAGCATTAGTATACGACCAGCTGTACTCAGAGTATTTTTTGGAGGGATAACGATGCTTGGAGTCGGCACTGAAGACCGAATGAAAGCCATCAAATATCGTTTCCAGTTTTATAAAGTTTGGTGTGCTTGGTCATAAGGTGTGGTATGTTTATTCTGAATATATTGGCACTGCAATTCTTGCATTATAACAAAGATTCTACTAAATGCCAAGTCTTCCAACTGCAGTGTTAGTTTAGCTTAAATAAATTCAATTTATTACAGTTTAGCATGCTTTATCGTTGGATTGTTGAAAATAGCGTCGACAGTCCAGAATAAATTCCAAATATTGCAGACCCTGGAGCAGCTCCTTTCTTTGAACCAATGGCGCCCGCTGCAGCCCCTGCCACAACACTGTTCAGAATATCATCTTTCTTCCTAGTCGCTTCCATTGACATCTCGACAGCAGAGTATACAGCACTCATCTTTGCAAAGTTTTTTCCACTTCTGTGCATCGATTGGAGTAGTGGCCTATTGGAAGGCACAAACATTCCAAAGACACAGCCAAATGCATATCCCTTTACAGTGTCTACTGCAAGTCTTTCTATGTACGGTCGTGCTGAGGAAAGCGATTTCTTGAAGCTATCACTGGCCATTTAGTGACAAAATTTTTTGGCGATAAAAGCACCAGCAAAAGAGGGCATGATTTGGTAATCTTGCCAACCGCAGCAGACATGGCCATTTGCATCAGAGCACCATCAAAACACTGTAGTTTTGACATAAACTTATTCTTAAAGATTGCAGCAACATTTCTATATTGTATTGACCGCTTACTACTTTTCATGTAAATTTTTAAGCCAGATTTTCTTGGAAATGCAACAGATAAAATACTTTCACACATACAAAACACATGTAAAGCAGAGATGGAGGAACAGACACTTGGTCGATGTATTGGAGTCGGAGTTTAGAACAAGATCAAGAAAGTACTATATCGGGGCTATAGAGTGTGGCGTAATAACGGTCAATGATCAAAAAACATCACCGATGTATCTGTTGAAAGACCTGGATGTAATTAGGCACATTGTCCACATTCATGAGCCCATTCCGCCCAACATTGACATTATTGAAAAAGAAAGTGACTATTGGGTGGTAAATAAGCCAAGCGGAATACCGTGCCATCCAACGGGAGGATACTTTGAATACTCCGTCACAAGAGCACTATTCAAAGACCAGAGCGTGGGATGCGTGAACAGATTGGACATGCCTGTCTCTGGTGTGCTAATCTTGACTTTCAGCAATTCAAACTTTGCTCACAATCTACTCGGTTCTGCGGAAAAGGTATACATTGCAAAAGTGAAAGGGGAGTTTCCCAGCAGCATCACTGTTGACAAACCAGTTGGTTTGGTGAGCGCAAGAATGTTTGATGTATCCGACTCTGGAAAGCCGAGCCGTACCACTTTCAGACTTTTAGAATATAGAAATGGCTACTCACTGGTTGAATGCAGGCCTGTGACAGGCAGAACGCATCAGATAAGAATCCATTGCAAATGCATTGGGTTTCCTATTCTTAATGATCTTTTATATGGCCAGGAATCCAATACGATTAAATCAGAAGGTATGCAACCAGAGTTCCCTGAGCTTTGTAATTCTGAGTACAACTGCGATGAAGATATTCGTAATACAAATGACGAAAAGTACAAATATGCAATTAGGAGCTGTAAAGGAACCAGCAACCGCTCGTTTGAAATAAGCAATTCCCACATTTGCCTTCATGCATGGAAGTATACCTTTAATGGAGTCACATATGAAGCTCCGTGGCCCGCCTGGGCTGTTCTTTAGCCTATCTGCTCAGTCCCAGGACTCCAGCCCCGACTCGATCTCATGCTCCAATAAACCAGCATTTCCAAGTTAGTAAATCGTGTTTGATACAATATCTCTTTTGTTGTGGTTTAGCATTGCCAAGGCACCCCCTGATGCCATTGTCCTCGATAAAAGAAGATGAGGAGATTATCCAAGTGCTAGAGGAAATTGATGAGAATTTTTCTGCAGTCAAAAACACACTGAGAGAGCTCAGATTAAAGATAGGTAGGGTGGGGGAAAGAAGCAGAGAGGTTGTTGAAGATTGCCAACCGTGGGTTAGATTCTTTGAAGTCCAGACAAAACAGGAGTTTTCACCCTTCTCGGATCTGCATTTGAACAGTTTGAAGTATAAAGAAGTAGTGCAAAGCCCAGACAACCTGAGTTACTCGTCTCCCAAAAATCCCTTTGTTGAGATTGAGTCTTCAGAGCTGCTAAACAAATCATTGTTCAAAGAGCTAAAGCTTAACCTGGCTACGAGTTCATCAGTGTCGTGCATCAATGCTGGTTCAAATATTGAAAATCCAAAAAATATGCAGAATAACGACTCTGAAGATACCGACTACGACATAAGGCCGTTTGAAAAGTCGCTATTGCCTGAGATATTTCAGGATGAGTCCGACTTGATTGAGCTTTATGATTTTATCAAGAAACACCGGTCGGTTTCACTCGAGCATATTGTTGATAATTTCAGGAGCATCCCTCCCGAAAAATTGGAAATATTAATTTCGGTTCTTTGCAGAAAACGGTTTGTCAAACATAAAAACTCAAAAATATCAATTGAAAAATAAATTTAACTCAATACAATGTGTAATCGAATGTCAGGTATTATTCATTTGGCATTGGTTGTCAAAGTCCAATTTTGTGAGTAAGCAATCTGTTTAAAGAACACACCACTTGCATACACTGGAGCAAAAATGATTTGGCAGTGTGCTTGGTGTCTCTTGCCGAGCAGTGTCCAGTGCTATCTTAAAAATTCATATTTTTTAGAAATCTTATCCTTAAATACAAAATAAGGCCCAACATTGATACTCAACACACAGTTTTTGCACACTGAGACTGCAGGATGATATGCATCTGGCTTTACATCGATAGGTTTTTTAGAGACTTCTTCTCCATTAACAAAAAACGTTAGTTTTTGTGCCGAACCGTCAGAAAATATCAGGCAGCAGACTATATCGCCCTTGAAGTATCTTTCACCATATTTAGCACGCTTGCCTTTGTGAAACATATACCCATTCTTACTGCCAAAGGAATATCCGTGCTCGTCCATGCCGATTGGGCCATTAATCTCGGCACCGCTGCTGGCAAATCCAACTCTTGAGTATCCTTCATTTGAAGTGATTGTAGCCTCAAAGTAGATATACCTGTTTAACATTACATGTGCCAATAAAGCGGATCTATATCCGTTGTTTGATGTGAATTCTCGGATTTGACACGAGTCAATTGATTTTGCTGTTCTAATAGATTCTGACATTTTGATCCGCTTGCTTCTCTTTGAAGCTTCTGGCTCAAAGTTTGCTTGGGTCTCTTGGCCTGTACAATTGCTTCCCATGAAGATTTTAGGGTGCCACGATTGAAATTTATAATGCTTTATTTGAATGATACGGCGGACGATTCATTTAAGTTTATGCTGACCCAGCTTGTGGCGTTTATGTGGGTCTGTCAATTAGTTTGGCGCAAATCCTTGATGAAATGTCATCGAATACTCGGTGATTAAATGCATCCCCCGAATCTGAGTTTTTGGCCAGTTCTTTGTTGAGAGGAATAGATCCAAAATACTCTATGTTTTCATTTTTGCAGAACTCTTCTATACCTGAGTTAGGATATACAACATTGATGTGAGAGCATCTTGGGCAATGAAAATTTTTCATATTTTCGACCATCCCCATAATTGACATTCCTGCTTTGTTACAAAATGCAATCTGCCTTCTAACATCATTCAGAGACAGGTTTTGCGGCGTGGTGACCATGATGGAGTATTGTGGTCTCACATAGTTGACAAGTGCAAGGTGCTCTTCTGTTATATTTGGCGGTGTATCAACAACCATGACATCATATCCAGAAAAATCGCAGTGTTTTAAAATCTTTTTTATTGCGTAGTTCTTGGTGTTTGTGTTGAATACTCGGGTCTGATCGTCCAAGTGCCCTATGCTAATCACGCCAATTTCTTCTTCTGTGACTATTGGCGCAAATGAACAATCGGATCGAAAAACAAACTCGTTTTCGGTTTTCGTGAGCCGAGGAATACTTGGCCCAGAAAGATCAAAATCCAGAATGGCTGTCCTGATCCCCATTGCAGCTACCCTGGATGCAATATTCCGTGCGATGGTGCTTTTGCCGACACCACCCTTCCCACTTAAAATAGCCAATATGAGCTTTAGCTGCTTCAGATTCTTTTGTATTGCCGGAATGTCTTCATCTGGCTTAGAAGACGCACAGATGTTTGCATTTGGACATCCTTTGCACGACTCCGCTTTTCCAGCCATTCCAGAGCTGGCACTTGGGCACTTCTGCATGGGTCTGAAAATCTCTTTGAAAATCAGAGCAGTTAGCTTGGTTGTACAAATCAGCAAGAGTAGAGATTAAGTTTACATAGTATTAGCACACTTGTATGAAATATTAATTTATTCATATGGGCTCGAAAATGATTCGGCAAACGACACCGCCTTTAGAAAAATCTCCTCAAAGGCCACAATTTCATTAAGTTCAATGCTCAGGCCGCGGACAAGCTCGCTTAGTTCTTTATCTTCAGACAGCTCGTCAGAATATATTGAGGTTACAATCATTAGAATTTCGGTAATCAGCGGCGTGAATTCGTCGATTTTTATGGTTTCCAAGCACAGCCGGAGTGTACATTTCAAAAAATCGGTGTCCGCATCTTTCATTAATCTCATAAAGCTACGCTTGTCAGAAATGAACTTTAGAACTGCAAATGACTGCTCAAGGCTGTTATCTTTAAAACACTTTTTGAGAGCCTCTTTGTACATAAAATTTCCCAAGAGTCTTTCCACCTCTATTGCTACTCTTTTGTTGCTTTGTATTACCTCATAGTTAATTTCATCTTCGTAAGGCCTGCATTTGCCCATGCTTTTTCGCTGTTCCTCAACTGTCTTTTTAGCCTCCAGGCTATATATTTTGCCTGCCTCAAGCACAACAAACGGTACATCATTGACGATCGAAAATGATATGAGTCTAGAATTAAAGTTGAAATTGCTTATGTTTTTTAGCTGTTGGTTGAATGACTTGAAGCGCCCATCAAGCGAGCAAGAATAGACCCTGTCCTTATATAGTCCAAGGCCAGTAATCTCTCTGGTATGAAGTATAGCACCGCTTTCAATTGCAAAATTATTGGTGTTAAAAATATATGCCTTATTTTTAGAAACAAAAAGTATATTTTCTGGAGATAGATTAATCGCATCATCTATAGATAGGCCAAAGTCAACTTTTGTGAGCAATTTGTAGTCGCACAAAGAGTATAGTAGTATGTTCTTTGAGAATACAACCAGCTTGTTGCCAACTTCCAAGAGCTTTCTGGGCAGTTCATCGCCCAAGTCAAGCTTGCAGATAGATTTATCTCCGGTCAGATCGTAGAAATTGACAAAGTGGTCCTTGGCTGCCGAGACGACTGTTTTGCTTGATGTTATTATTATATCAGTTATTCCTGCATCGTGTCCCTGAAACTGTCGAATTGCAGCTCTATGTCCAGAGAAGATGCGGACTTCTCCACTCAGAGCTCCAGCACAAATTAATTGGTGGTGTGTGGATAGGGCTGTAATCTCCGCTTTGAATCCGGCAATCTTCTTCTGCTTTTTCTCTTTCAACGAAAATAGCTCATTTTTACTTGAGAATACATGATGGCCCTCAACAGAAATAAAATGCGAAATCGGCATGTGTGCGTCAAAATGCAAATCAAAAATGTCTGTTTTTGTGTCTCTGAGCTGATAAGAGTTGCTTAGAATGAACATTGGTGAAGGGTGGGCAGAAAAAAGAATAAGTACTCTGGACCTCAAATGTGAACATTACCCGGCCCTAAGAATAGCTGTGGATGATAAAGACATACCATTAGCCTGATGCATTTGTAAATGCATAGTTTCTGAGGTCATATCAATGCCTCAAAAATTAAGTTGCTACACTCCTTACAGATCAGTGAGTAGCAGCAATATCTTTATGAAATATAAATATGTTATATATTTACAACTGAGTGTTTCATACATCAATGTGGTGCCTGATATATTTACCATTTTAAAACTTGTTTCAGATTTCATATTTAATCGAAGCGACAATGATAAACAATGAAAGCTTCTAAGTTAAGTACAACACTCTTTACAGTTTCCATAATTGCAATGATGATACTCGTGTTTGATATAACGTCGTATCTAAGGGGTAAGAATGGATATCTGATTGGCAAAGGCCGATCGCATCTTGTTGGGAACATCGAGAACAAAAACGAACTCGACAAAAAGTTGAACGAGATTAGCAATAGCATCATAAGTCTTTCAACCAGGCTTTCCCGTATTGAAGAATCAATATCCAAGATGGATAGGTCATTTGAGAAAAAGGTTATTTATCCTCTAAGAAATGAAAAAAGCTCTTCAAGTTTAAAGCAGAGCTATGACAATGATGAGGTGGTGCCCGACTTCAGTCGTCGCCGAGAATCACTAAGCAGGCTACGCAAAGGCAGGGATGTTTCAGGCACCAATGAAAGCCTGGACGGTGATGATAATCTGTTTGACCATGTCCATCATCGAAGAAATTCAAGAAAGTGGCATAAAAGCGACGAAAATACCATGAATATCCTCACTCCTAAAAGTAGCCTAAATAATGTCTTCCATGATGCAGAAAATTCTAACTGGCATAGAAAACCTCGCCACTCACATGTACTTGGCCACAATCACAGATTTAATAGCGACTACTTCCCAGAATCGCCCAACAAAAGAGATGCACTTGACAACAGTCTTATCAAATCGGATGGTAGGGACTACAATGGCTCCCACGGCAAAACCTACGAAAGCTCAAAGTATAGTCTCAAATATTCAAATCCACCAACATTCCCTCGAAGAGCATTGCTTAGAAAAGTTAGCATTTCGGTTGAGCCTAAAAGGGACTTCTCTAGGTTTTCAAAAACTCCATATTTTAACGGAATGGTCAATCTCGACGATTTGTTTTCAGGTATTGGCAAGGACAGCGATTCTGTGGTTGAAGTCAAGCGATTTGATAATTTAGACTCGTTTAGAAATTTTACGAAGAATCAATCAGAAAACACAGCCAACGAAGAAAATGACAATGCAGTTGAAACAAGCTTCTTCAAAATGTCTGATATTATTGGGAGAACCTCGCCATCTGAAAGAGATAAGAAGAATTCGAGTTTATCAAGTAATGGCCTGATTGATTTTACAAAAATGGTTGGCCAAAAAAGCAATGCGTCTACTATGAGCGCCGACAGTCATGAAATGCCATCAAAAGATAGTGCTAATGCTGCTGACAATAATATCTATGGCTCAAGGAATGGCTCTAACTCACTCAATAACAGCTTCGGATCCAGTGGCAAGTACAACCCAAAAGGTACTGCAAACTTGTCCGGCATCAGTTACGACTCAAAGAGTACTGCTAGCACATCTGGCACTGGTTCTGGCCCAAAAAGCAATACAAATTCGTTTAAAGATAGCTATATCTTAAAAAATGCTGCTGACGACGCGTTCTACATCCCAAAGAGCAATGCCAGCCTATTTGATAATGTCAAACAAGAAGGCAATACGGCTGACTTATCCTCAAAGCCCAATAACAATACCAAAATGAATGAAAATAGCAATGCTCCAAGCAAAATTTCGGGTACGCCAGCGAATTTGCAGGAAACAATCAGCCCCCCTAAAAACAACACCAATGTTCGTGATAACACATCTAGTGCTGATATGCCTAGTGGCAACGAAAAGACAATGATGAGTATATTTATCAATGCCGATGCTCCAAGGAGTGAGATAAAAGATTTCGAGACTAAGAGCAGCGGAAATCCGGTAGCTACTGAGTTTTGTGAAAGCTTTAGTAATCCATACGAAGCTTTCAGGTCTGGAAAGTGTGTTTATAGAAATGTAACCGCCTCCAATGCAGATCCACTGAGCTTTGGGCTAGGTGATGAATTGTCACTAAATCCTGAGGATTTCATAAACACAATACACGCAACCATTAAAAATATGGAGGAGAGTATTAAACCATACACTGGCGGTGAAGCATTAGCCAATAAAAATAGCAATTGGGCTGAAAAGAAGATATCTGGTGCCAGCAATACCAATGGACACTCTGGCACAAGTGCTGAAAACATCACAGCGAGCTCCAAGGAGAGTGGAAATGTTGTCGGCGGCAAAGAAAACAAAACCCTCAACCTTCCATCAACGGACTCTAAAAAGCCACTAATTGATGACGAGATTCAAAAGCCCACACTTATACAGCCCTCAGTCTAATAAACACATCAAGCACTAATTACTTTTAATTAATTTAATGACGTCTTTTTAATGTAAGGCTTCGACTCTGTCCAAAATTGAGTATTTTTTCTTATTTGAAAGCAGTTTGAGTGCTCTACTGTCGATGGTATCAATAGCATTTGGAAACGGTGAAATGTGTGGTGGTAGTTCTTTGCCGACGAAGTACAAATCGTATGGAAGTATCTTTGATTGATTCAAGCAGTCAAAAACATACTGTGGCTGAAGATAGATGTTTTCTGGATCGATGGCATCAACGGTCTCGGTAATTATAAACTTGGCCTGGCCATAGCTTGCGACTTCACCGTCAAGAGAGAGAATTACAAAGGCTATCTGCTCGCTGATCGACTTAACATCTATAAAAAACCTCATGTTCTTGAAGATGCCTGCCTTTTTGCCGTTTTCTTTTGGATAGAGAATACCAAACTTGTGGACACAAAGCTTCAGGTGTATTTTCAGGAGTGGTGATGCATATTTGAGCAATGAAATATCAAGCTTGTCAGGACTATTAGTATGTGTGATCTCGGCCGCCTCACTTTCCTCTTCACTGAGAGACCCAAAATCAAGAAAATCAAAATTACACACAGTCTTGGCATCTGGAGAGTCCACTTTTTCTTCAACAAAATCAGCAAGATTTGCTCCCGGATATGGAACCATCCAGCACACAATTATTTTCTCAACGTTAAATCCAAAGTAGATGCCTTTCTTTGACATGAACGCCTTACTCAGCAGCTTCCGTTCGATAATAAATTTTCTAAAACTCTCTAGCTCCTCTTTAACATAGTCTATGGATAGTAGGTCGATAATGTACAAATTTTTAAGAGTGTTTCCTAAATCGTCTACCGACTGTCCGAGAGACCCATACTTCTGTTTTACAAGATCTATCAAATCAAATTCTTCATCTATGACCTTAGAGGCCCTTTCAATCTGCTGAAACTTCAGCATCTTCTGTCTTTTCGCTTCTTTTTTCAGATTTCTGTTCAATATCCCATAAGTTTCACTGTAAAACATCGTTTTTACATCTTCTATTCTATAATACCATCCATCGACTTTGTCGTAGCAATTCTTACTGTCGGCAACAACCGGATATATCCCAAGCATGACCGATAGCTTATCAAACTGCTTTTCAGACACGTTTAATTTTTGCACAGCTGTTTTTCTAGACACATACTTGACTGCTGGTCTGAAGTGCTTGTAGCCGCCCATTTACAAGGACTAAAAACTTTTCAAAAAATCCGAACAGTAAAAGAGCTAATATGATACAACAGTAGTGGTGTCTTGTTTGTAATGCAGTACCATAACCAATTATGCTACTTAAGCGAACGTGATATTTGCTGCTGAGCATACTAGGCAAGATGTGCTATTAATAAACGACATGCTGGATGCTATTCGATTGGATAATACCCAAAGCAATGTTTGAGTGATTTGAGACGTAAGCTGCTACTGGTGCTAGAGTAATTGCATATTTTACACTCGGCACGTCATAGTCATCTTGCTTCCACATTAACTTCATCACTTTGTTTAGGATGGTTCTCAGCATCAAATCAGCTTTTATGGAGTTAGAACACTAACATGTTCAATGGATTACCTAGCAGTCTCGGCGACTCAAGATGCAAATCCACAGTTTAGACTTTTAGTTGAAATATTTTGAAGGGACTCTAGCAAAAATGGTGTTGAAAAAAATGGCGGGAGCAAAGGTGCAAGAAAACTGCTCAAATGCCAGTAGAAACATCGACAAAGAGGAATGCTGTGCTGAACAAGCAGCACAACAACCATCCATCTGGTCTTTTAGAACAAATAATAGCATCCACGTTTGTGTCAGAAAAAAGCCCATTGAAGAAGGTAAAGACACAGTTAAAATAGAAAACAACAGCGTTATCGTTCAAAATAGTAAGCTGTCATACTCCCTTGATGATATTGAGTTTAATCATCAGTTTTTGTTTGATAGTGCCTTTGATGAAAATTGTTCCAACGAGGAAATTTTCCAATTGGCAGTCAAAGGAATGGTAGATTTTTCAATAGACGGCGGGTCTGGCTCGGTTATCGCATATGGCCAGACAGGAACTGGAAAGACATATACACTGCTAGACCAGAAGTCGGGGCTGCTGTTCCAGGTTTTAAAATATTCGTCGTCCAGAATTGCCTGTGGAGCGCTTTCATTTCTTGAAGTGTATATGGGAAATGTGCAGGACTGTCTAAGAAACAATCTAAAAATTAACCTTTTTGAAAAAAACAATGAAATCTATGCATCGGAAATAACAGTCCGACCATTCCACGGGTTTGAGGATGCAAGGAATATCCTGAAGGCGGGCGTTTTGAATAGAAGCACATCTATAACCGACACTAATGCTTGTTCCTCCCGATCCCATGCTGTTGTTATTATTGAGTTTTTGCCAGCAGCTGAAAAATCGGAAGTTGTTAGATCGAAGAAGCTTTTGTCCAGCCATTCACTGGCCATTGTGGATCTTGCAGGAAGTGAGAGAGGATGCGATAGGAGAGTGTGTTCAAAGGAGGTTGCAACAGAGGGTGCAGAGATCAATAAAAGCTTATTGGCACTGAAGGAATGTATCCGAGGCATAGAAATGAAAAGCAAGTTCCTGCCATTTAGACAAAGTAAATTGACTCAAATTTTGAAGAATGCACTGATAGGTAATTCCAAGACCTGTTTTATCGCAAATATCTCGCCTAGTATTAAAGACATTGAGCATACGCTGAATACACTCAGGTATGCCAGCAGGATAAAGGAGTCCTCTCACAAGTACAGCGGCTCCTCAGGATCAGAAAGACAAGATTGCTCAGATTCTACTGTCGACTCATCGGTTCTAGTGGACAGTGCCTTGAATGCCGCTGATCCTTACAGCACCAGGAGCCGTTGTATTTCTGCTGATACCAGTATTGACAACCCATTTACCGTTGATTTCGAAGATCTAACAAGCAACCGAAGCATGTTCTTCTTTGATGGGAATAGCAGTAATGGGCATTTCAAGGAAGATGCTGAGGATCTCAAGATCGTTGAAACTGATGGCGATGCTTCCACGGCAGAGTTACAATCTAAGAAGAATGCAAAGACCATCAGCAAAGATATTAATTATGTAAATGAAATTACAAAACTGTTTGATTCGAAATGCACTCTTCTTGAAAAGTCCTCCATTCAACCGTCCACGATATCACTTCAAAAATCAAGAATTGAAAAGATCCTGCAAAACTTTACTTTATTAATTCAAAAGGAAGGCAATCTGCAGGTGCTAAAGAACATTTCAGCAGAGCTGGAACAGCTTGTTTCGAAATTAAAAAGCAAACGCTAGATTCAAATATTAAATTAATTGAGCTTAGCTCCTTAAACATACAGCAGTATATTGCATTAGTCAGATTAACTGCTGAGCAGTATAGCACATTTCTTATATTAAAAGAATATGGAAGGAAAGCCATAGTTTAATAGACAGTGCTTTGCATTACGTCATCATTTTTAATTATTAACTAGTTTTCAATTACCGCTTGCACATAAGCCATAATTATTGGGTCTACACTCTCAGGTCTGCTGCTCAACTCAGGGTGGTACTGAACTCCAAAGTAGAACTTGTTCTTCTCCACACAAACGGCGACTATCCTGTTGTCACTTGTTCTTCCTTCAACCTTCATGCCAGCTGACTGCAGGACATCCTCATACTCAGGATTAAGTGAATATCTATGTCTGAACACTTGATTGGCTTTATCAGTCTTGTAAATCTTAGTACCTAAGATATCTCCAAACTGGACCGTGTATTCGCCCAGGAATATGTCCTCTTTTGTGTTACAGCAGACAATATTTGGATGCTTCCTGATCAGAAAGTTACGCGAAAACGAACTGAATTCCTCAGACGTAGGCGTCTGAGAATTCTAACAGGTTTCTCGCAAACTCAATAACCATTATTTGGAATCCAAGACAGATTCCCAGGAATGGAATATTGTTCATTCTGGCATAATGAGCAACCATGACTTTAGTTTCAACATTCAAGTCTCCAAAGCCCCCTGGAATTATGATTCCATTGACGCTTTTCAATAAGTCGAATGTGTCACTGTCATTGTTGGCCAGCTTGAGATAGTTGATTGTTACAATTTCAATATCATGGCCAAAGTGCTTTCCTGCACTTACAACGGCATCTTCAAGACTGGTGTATGGCTGGTCGTTTGTGAAATATCGTGAAATAATTCCGATTTTTTTGGATTTTCCGTAAATTTTTGTAAAAATACCAAATTTTTGATCTAGATAAAACGACTGCTTACGATCCTCAAGACAGAGCAGCTCCTTAATGGAGGTATAAAGGCCTTGTTCCAATAAAGCCTGTGGGATATCGTACTGATTTGTGCAGTCTCTGGACCATATAATGTGCTCCTTTTTGATCCCGCAGTTCTCAGACACTTTTCCAAGATACACGTCGCCCATCTCTTTATTTCCCCTGTAGATCATAATATCATTGGTGATTCCAAAGCTTTTTAGATTGTTTAGTGTGTTTTGTAGCAGCTTTGTCTTAACAATATCGCCAATTTCAATCATGTAATCCAGTGTTACAAAGCATTTATCGTTCTTGTCAATATTTCCAAAGTATCTTGAAAACCCTTTGATCAGGAAAAACGCTTCGTCGTCACCAATAGTGCCTCCAAGCTCAACTATGATAAAATCGGGTCTTTTAAACACCTTCCTTTGATTGATAATTGTGCACACTGGCTTCTCCTGAAGAAACTGCAGCCTCTTTGAGATATAGTCATTAAAATCCGTACAAAACCTCAGTGTTTTGCCATTATAAGATCCAGACTTCTCATTTGTTATGATATCAAAAAGAATCTTTCCCGAAGTTAGCGTATTAGACGCATCAAGAATAAGATTGCAGAATCTCTGATAGTTTCCTAAATCCAAATCTGCCTCTGTTCCGTCTGCCAATACAAACGTCTCTCCGTGCTCACTTGGCTCAAGTCTTCCTGCATTGTAGTTAAGATATGGATCCACTTTCAAGAATGTTACTGTGTAGCCATATGACTGCAGTATTGCCCCAATTGAGGACGACAATATGCCCTTTCCAATTCCAGAGAAGCTTCCCCCAGTAACAAAAATGTACTTCATTGGGGTAAATTTTTTACAACATTTTATGTGAGTTGATCACTAAAAGTCAAAAGGATGCAAATCAAGTGTCAATTACAAGCTCAAATTAAAAAACGCTAGAGAATGGCAATTTAACAACATCGGCATTGTGCGCTTTAAATGAGCACTCCCGCAGCAGTAAAGGAGAGCATCTGAAGAGCGATATGATGCTATTGGATAATAAACGCCAGCTTGCCCAAATCTACCAAAGAACTACTCAATGTCAGAGAACAGTGGTGGAATTGAAAGCCAGACATTTCATCACAGCAGAGCTAAAGATATAATGCTTGCTGGCATATCTCATTGGAGACGGTTTAAGTATTGATGATACATTCAGCACAGCCGGCTATTTAAAGATTATACTAAATCTTTAACGGCTAAGTTTATTCCAAACAGAAAAGCACTCAAGTCCGAAGGAATATGCAACTAGAGCCTTTCAGTTTGCATCGACTATAAACAGCCACCCCTTAGCCAAGTGCCCATCTAAGCTTAATTGCATTGCATAGATGTTGGATGTTTAATTATCCAAATATTGATATTCTAAATGAATTCATTTAGAACGATTTGGCAGGATATAATGTTGGCATTTTCATAGACCATGAAATACTTGATTCTTCTAGGATTAATATCGTCCATTACTCTGCCTGACACCTGCACGAGCACTGGTGTTGTTGCTTTGACAATTGATGAGGGGCCCAGCGCATATACAGACAGCATTCTGGATATTCTTGATAAGAAGGGTGTGCCTGCTACTTTTCATTTCAATCCTTCAATTGTAGGCTCTGAGTTCCAAGGCATCTATGACAGAGTCGAGGATGAAGGCCACGAGATTGGATTTAGGTCCAGCCCAAAAAGAGCATACACAGACGATCAGCCCTATGAAGATGTTGAGGAAGACCTAGACCAGCAGTTGAAGTTCATGCAATCCAGAACATCGAAAGACATTAAGTATGCTAGAGCACCTAAAAATGGTGATCTTCCTGTTCAGAATGTGTATAATTACTTTGTTAAACGTAAAATAATCCAGACTTCATACAGCCTGTGCCCCCATGACAATCCGGACGAGGATCCTGTAGACAGAATCCGAGACTTCCTTGGCCCGAACAACTACAAACACGACTCATTCATTATTCAACTCTACGAACAAAGACTTGAGCAGGACGGCAATCTTTCTGAGATAATTGATGCAATAAAGGAATATAACTATGAGATCGTGACACTGTCCAGCTGTTTGGATGGTTACGAGCCTGGAAAGCCTGTAACGAAAAGCAAATCAGGTAGGCTGACGTCTTCCTGCAGCAAAATGGTCTTTCCCCAGTTTATTCCGCTGTTAATGCACTACCTAATATATTAAATAAACTGTCAGCTATTCCTACAACTTGTATTAGTTGCCCTTAATATTCCTAGCATCGAGTCTACGACAAGCGACCAGCGATAATGCCAAGTCAAAAATATATTGGCTACAATTTCTTAATATTTGTATTTTAAGCACCAGGATGTGCGAATAGAGAGAATATATTAAAATAAAAACGGGACGGCCCATGTCTTTACACAAGGTCTAGCCTTATGCAGAGTATTGAACGATTACATTCGTGCTGCAAAGTATCTTGAAAAACCATGCGAAAGTTAGACATCCGAAGATGTAGACAGCTAGTTCAAATGAGCCAGCATGTCCCGGGGATGCTTTAAAATTTTTACTTGCAGCAAAGCAGGAAAAAGCAGAACAAGGCACATGGCTACTAGCCATGCTCGTAAGCATGGCCAATATGTTAATTAAGGATAGCATACACAAGAAATATTACAGTTTTTAGTCAATTTTAATTCGCCTGTCAGATTATATTATCAATGTCGGGAAATGCCATTTTAAGATTGGCTAACAGCCTGTCTTTTGACAGTGTTGAGGTGGCCCATATTTCACTTAGTCTTAGTTGGCTTTTGTGCTTCTTGACAATGCACTTTGCCTCAACCTCCTCATGCCCAAAGTAAAACGTGTTTCCCTTTTGATAAAAATTTTCACAGATCTTTTCACATTTTGGGATTAAATAGGTCCTGTGCAGTCTTTTGTGAAACTGCACGTCTTTCATATTAGTCGAGTTGTACTTTATTTTGCATTTCAAGCAGTATTTAAAGACGTTTTTTCCAAAGCCTAGGATCCTTTGCATTTCAGGTGTACAACGAACAGTGTTTGCATCATGTGCATAAGCATAAATACACATACTTGGCATGAATAACAAAGAAACGTCAAGCATCAGTTGTGCATTATGCCTTTATGGATTAAAAATGCATTTGGCCACTGCAAAGACATCCTTATCTTTATCTTCCATGCTTTTCGGTATTCTTCTCAAAAATTCTCAAGTTTCCAAGTCCCATTGGGCAGAAGAACAGCGTTGGAGACCTCTCCAAGGAAAGTCCTCGGAAGACGCCGAAAGGTAGCCGTAGAAGGCCTTCTGTGCCTAATAATAGAGCTATGCTGTTAGGTATCGATCTACCCAACAAAATGAGGCTTACTCTCTGTACCCAATCTTTTAATCCAAGCTCTTTAGTTCTTGTAAACACGCAATATTTTCTAACACAGATTTAAGTGTGCTATGTCCATGTTGGGAAGACAACTGAGAGACATAGCCAATATGTGCATTTTAAAGTAGAGTTGATTTTATTTCATATTCTTTAAGAATTTAAACTAAGGTAAGATAAACTTCGAAGCCCGTATGTTTTGTATTAAGCCACTTTATTCCAAGGCTGTTTCAGCAACAGCACTTCTCTGCTGTATTAACAGCTTTATTTGTCACCCACCTGTGCCCTTTTTGACCCATGGAAAAGATGAAACAGATAAGACAGCTGTTTGAAGAAACCAAGGGGCTAGAAAGCCTGGAAAAACGTACAAGGAGGGGAAGAAGGAAATACTTCAACTTGAAAATGAAATAGAAGTGCTCAAGGAGGAAAGAAGTGGTCTAAATATCAATGTGCTGAACAAGCAAATTGAAGAGGGAGAGTGCGAGCTCAATAGCATTGTGAAGGAGATAGACTGTGGCAAGATTATTGAGGGCAAGTGCATGTCATTGTACGAGCTTGAGAGGGCCTTGGATCTAATTATGGACGAGAATCTATGCCTGGAAAAGTGTCGCGGGTTTATGAATAGCTTGGTATGTGTTTTTAATATCTCAAGTTTGCAGATGGAAAAGTACTTTAAAACACAAAAAGAAGAGGAAAGTTTCAAAATTATTAAAGTTAGCAAGGAGATTGAGGAGCTATTTAGAATGAGTAAATCAAGATCATTTTTCAGGAATCTTGAATGCGACTTAAAGTCAAGAGCCAAGGAGGAGTTGGAGGGTGCTGTGCCATTTGATGTTGAAGTATTCTCGACAAACGACTCGTTGTATATCGTTTTTCCATCAGAAAACTCATCAGATGGCGACGAAATTAACGTCCAAGGTCTTCGCAAGGAGACGTTCTCTTCGCTTGTGGAATCATTTAGCACAACAATTGGCTGTGTTCTCTTCATACTAAAGGCCAACCTTGCTCATTCTTTTGCTAAGGACAACTATTCGATGGTTGATTTGGTTGAAAATAATAAAAAACTTGAGGGTTCCGAGTTTCACATCGAAAATATCGAGGAGTGGACACTAGACTGTGTGATGAAAGACATTTTGAATATTCCAAAGGCAAGAATAGACGCGAAGGATCTTTATCTTATTGAGGACGGGGTGTCTGGAGAGTTTGTTTCTAATCCATATCACAGGCTAATAATGCTGTCAAAGTTTATTGAAAAATCCCATTCAGCCAGGAAAGAAAAGGCAAAGGTGTTTTATGACAAAGCGGTACTCAAGTTCTTTGACTTGAATAGAGTTCACGGTGTCGGTGATGCGTTTGTGATGTATTCTGACATTTCTCATTTTGTCAAGAAATGTGCAAATTTCAAATATTCCGAAGACCTGAGCAAAGTGCGGGAGGATCTGTTTTGTAAAATACTGGATCTAAGCACAGCATTAGACATTGACTTGGCTCTGTCCATCCTTACGCTTAAGGCCAGAATAAAACAAAAGCAGTTTGACTTTTACGAGAATGTTGGGAAGTTTGTTCCTCGAAAGGCCCACAAGTTTTTCAAGATTCAGTTTTTTGAAAGGCTGTATGATAGTTTTTGAATATAGTTATTATGCCCCAGAAGCTGCCAGCGAATGGCAAAAATACCCTCAAGGAACTGTCCCAATATCTGCTTGATATATCATTTGAAATAGGGTCTGAGTCGATTACAAACTATTGTAAGGTTGCAGCACTCTGTGAGTGTTTAGACTCGTCATTAGAAGAAGTTATTGAGCTGTATGAGTTTGGGAGCGTAAGTCTTGAAAACTCCGAGCTGAAAATGATTGTTAGAAACATGTTTGAGGAATCGGAGCTGAGAGACAGCTTTATTAACAGATTGGATTGAGTGCCGCTTAGTAGCATTTGGATTAAATAACGGTTTATTGATGCATTGGGATTGGCCACAAGTAGCTAATATGTAATTCTTATATCCAGGTCGTTTAATATATTGATTGGAGTCTCGTGTAAGCTAAGCTATGAGCAAGGCTTGAAATAGCAGTGCTATCGACAATACTCGACAGGGCTCTTGGTTGTTGTGCTTGCATGTAAAAACATGCAGAATGCACTTGTAAAATCTGTATTGAGTCGTGAATGTCTGGCATTCATCGCATGGATTTTAATTATCCTTACTAAAATAGCGCCTTGGCAAGGATCTGCAGTATCCAAGCAAGGTTGTTTGTTTTTGTTTTACAGTATTTTACATTCAATACATTGGAATCGCAGAATTAAATATTTGAGGTATGATTTAATTACAGCCCTGTTTAAACAAACAAATGAAAAGAAGCCTTGTTGCACGAATGAAAATAGTGGATCCAAAAAGATTGAGGGCTGCAAAGATAGTGCCACAACTACGTGTTTGTATAAAGAAGACAAGTCAGCCCCAGCCGTATAGATTTGTGTCGCCAACTGTCGGAGTGGTGTCTGAAGTATTAAAAAGCATTAATGTGGATGATGGGGAGCTTAAATTGGCACTGATAGACCTAGCACTTACTAGATTTATTGCCAATAAAACACCAATCAACATTTCATTTACAAGGTTTCTCAAGAACTTTGACAAGTTCAATGTATTTTCATTGCTCTGCGCCTGTAGCTACATGGAGTCAGCCAGAATAGCTTCTAAAGGCGATGTAAGGACGTTTATTTATATCTTTCTTGGATTTAACATTCTCTCGTCAAAGTACCTGGATGATTACTGTGTTTGGAATTCAGCCTATACTAGCCTTTGGGGAATAGACTATATCCAGGCATCACAGATTGAGCTATTTGCACTGAAAAGATTGAACTACAAGCTAGCGGTTAATATAAGCAGCATCTTAAAGATGCTTTCGGAGGCTTTTGATATACTTGAAATGTAACATAATACTATATTTCAAGTGTGCTCATCAAAATAGATCCCCATTAAACCATGTGCCAGTCAGCGATTACTCATCGATAGGTCCTTGTCTTGACTATTGCTTCTTAACCCCAAAGTTATGGCGGATGAATTGGAGAGTGTGAAAGAAAAATACGGATGCTTATTGAAGAACTTGGAGCAGAACATCAAAAAGGGAGACAACCAAAAGATAAAAGAAGAAGTCGATGAAATAGTTAATGAGGTTTTAAGGTTTAGAAGAGCCATTGAAAATAAAAAATACAGTCTTTAAATGATGGCCTACAGTGTCGGTCTGCAAAACAAAAGCAGAGCAGTAGATCCTTCAATAGAAAGGCTAGGTGGAATAGGATCCATGCTCTTTATAATTAAATGCAGCTTTCTTTGGACACTTGCCTCGCTATTAAGTATTTTATGGAATCTTCAGTTTGTACCCCGTATTAAAAATGCAAATCGCCGATATGCTGTATATAATATTTAGATATGCTAAATTGCAATGCTTTTATTAATTGTCGAGGTATTTTTGGCATAGGCTCCGTATTGTCTTTGAAATTAAATACCCTAGAGAAAGATTGAATGTAACATTGAAAAGTATAAAGCTCCAAACAAAACCAGGAAGACCGCATATTTTCTTCTCAACATCAATTCGTATTTCAGCAGGCTTGGTATCTTTGAAGTATTCAGTCTTATCAACTACCTTGAATATTTTTGGTGACATTTCTTCTAGCTGGTAGATTGAATTGCCAAGATGTGACAGCTTCACACTATTTCCCCATGAAATTTCACTGGATCTCAATACCGTGCCTTGTACATGTAGTTCTTTGAAATCATTTGTTGATATTTCAATATTATCACAGAGTATAAAAGCAAGCAAAACAAATAAAATTTTCATGGGTGTCTGAGAATTAAAAGTTATCCCATGCTTTCTCGGCCAACTAGCTTTTGAGCCAAACTACTACAGCCAATATGCATGGCCAGCACATATTGGTCTGTGGTATTTGAACGCAAAAAATTTCACTGTACACCCCCACCAAATGGAAGATGCAAGCAAAAAAATTGCAGTAATTGACGAGCTTTCTATCCAGATTTACGACGAGGACCACACAATGCTAAATCCACTTCGTTGGGTGATATCTAATAACTGGGTTGGAGATGCCGTTGAGTTTTGCGGATACACCATTCCTCACCCATCAGAAAGAATCTCGCATCTTAATGTCCAACTTGAAGACAGGAACGCACAATCTCCAAAGAATGTACTAAAGAAGGTCTATGAAGGACTAGAATGTATCGAAGTCATAGCAGCCAAGCTGCTTGAGTCCATAAAAGAAGTCGAAGGTAGCATATAAAGATGTCAATATTGGTAAAAATGGCAGCTTATATTTTAAATACCAAGCGAGACGTTATATTATCCATGAATATAAATTGGAATGGCAATATAAAATGCTGAAATAGTCATCCTTTTAATTAAATACATCCCTCTCAACCTTTACCCAG